TTAAAATCGTTCTGTGTGACACGAAAAAAATGGGGAAATCGTGTTGGTGAACACGAATCAATAGATTAATTTCGTGACTAACACGAAATGCCGTGAGACTGTGTTGAATGCTCATATGGATGTAGATGTATTTGTTGTCTTGTGTCTTTGTGTAGCTCTTACGTTGGTTTTTGGAGTTTTCAATAAATTAGAAATCATCAGTCAAGTGTACGGCCATCTTTCTGAGGGATATGCTACAGATTATATAATAAAATATCGATAATTGGCGTCCGTGTATTGATACAATATCGGCACTATGCTGTATCGATTATTTCCACCACCCCTAATACATGTATTCTTGTTTGCTCTCCTTACTTCTGCAGCATAGAGACAGTGGAGGACATGATAAAGATGGGAGTGTACGTGAACGATCTGAACCTGCATGACTCCAGCAGAGAGCTGATTCTGGCCGGGACGCAACAATCGGCCGAGCTACAGCTGGCCCTGGATCAGGTGAGGAGAAAAATCCCTTTTCTGCAGGGATTGAGCATTGCACACAAAGCACACTTTGCACCAAATCCCAGAGCAGTTTGAGGTGGTTCACAGGGCTTTATAAATTGTACTGAAATATGGTTCCAAGAAGAAGCTGAATGATATGATACGCTGAGTGCACAACATGTAAGAAGTGCCAGTTTTCTGCATTAAAGCGCCCGGCCAGGTGAAAGCTCTGCTCCAGTATCGTTTACCTTAGTCATGCAGGAGAGATGTGGATTAAGAGGATTAGAGAAGGCAGAGAGGGATTTTTGAGCTTTAAGAAGAGGTGAGACTGTAACTGTAGACTCTTTTGTCCAATTTCCCCATCCTCTAGGAGCAACAGAAATACGCTCAGCTGATGGAAGTCATCAAGACGCTGGACGAGGAGAAGAAGAGAGGAGATTCTTTGCTGTACGCCATGATCCCTAAAGCTGTGGCCGACCGCCTCAGGAAGGGGATCACTGCGCTGGAGACGTGCCAGGTACACAATAATACTCAAAAACACTGCGAGTGCGCACAGTATAACTGCCAAACTGAGGCCATAGACATCTCGCAGTGATCCTAACCTGAGATGGCAAAAGTAAACACTGTCCCGAAATTGACACCAGATGGACACATGAATATGGAATTGTGAATTTCGCACGAAGATGGCCCCGAACTTGGTCAACGGCCAAGCAAAAGCCGAAGCAATTACGATGCCTACAGAAGGCCACACGATGGCACCCGAACCACACACTCCATCATGTTGTTTCCATAGCAACAACAACTTCCTGTCAACAGCGTAAACTCGCCTTCAAAAATAAAAGCATCTAAATAACACAGGAAGTTAACCTAAATTACATATTTACAACTGAAACGAAAGTAACACAAACAATGTCATATCCTTTTCAGTTTCACAGAACACAAATTGGGTTATTTACAATCGTTATGTAACTCTTTTATTGCACTAGGTAAAGCAACAATAGGTTGTAGCATTCAAACCTGCTCATGGACTTGCAGTGGTCCTCGCTTTTTTTATGTCTCTCCAATGAGTTACGCAGGTGCTTCCAGTCTACATATCCATCCCTCGTGAATGCACCTTCAGCTCCTGGGCTGGGGAAATGTCTGCGCATTTTACAGAAAAGCGCGTCCCTACTTGCGCTGTATTCCACCCAGGGAAAATCTTCAAACCACCTCAACCAGTTTTTACCGGAAATGAGTTCCGTTCAGAGGATAAAACACATACAAGATTCATTCAACTCGATATTTGTTCACTTGAATTTCACTTTGAATGCTTGCATATTCTCATTGGGGGAATTAAAAAATGTTTAATAATAATGAAAAATAAATAAATCAATACAAATTACACCAAAGCTTTCTCAGGGCGGGCCAATGAGTGTACTGGGCGGGCCAGGGCCCTGGCCCTATTGTGGCTACGCCACTGATGGGTAGAGATGAAAAGGGAGTCGGAATTTAGAAAATATATTTGTTCAATCTCAGTCATTTATTCATTGAAATTGGGTCCTAATGAAGGGGTCTACAATGAGCCAAATTGAATTGATATATTTCCCGAATGGACCAAATAATTCAATATTGGCAAACAATAGTCAATGTTATCAATCAGTTATGATATTCTCAATAGCTTTAATGCATTCCCTGACCCAGAAAATGTATACTAAGACAACAAGATTGACCTTCTAAGTTGCTTGGAAGCCAAGATATTGGCCCTTATAGCTTTTGCATGGCGGCTCATCTTGGAAATCCAAGATGGCCGCCATCCGCCATCTTGATGAAGTAGCTCTCCCCCAAATGTAAAGCTATGGTGATGTAGAACACAAGAAAAAAATGTGGTGCTTTTATCCGGCGTGTCCTCATCCTTCTCAAACGGGTCATAAGCCGCCGTACTATTTAAAACTCATGCAGAGAGTTAGGCAAACTGTCCAAAAATCAGCTCCTCTCGTCTTTTCCTAACCAAGACGAAACGACGAGAGGAGCTGATTTTTGGACAGTTTGNATTCAAAGTGAAATTCAAGTGAAGTTTTCAAAGCACTCGCTGGAGCAGTGACTATAAATCTCGTTGTATTCTGTACAATGACAATAAAAGCTTTTTGAATTTTGAGATTACAAACAGCTCATTTAGAGTTCAGAGTGAAAATAGAATTTTAGGATTATTCCTGCTTTTTGAAACTGTAGTACGGGCTCATGTGTTTCATTGTTGGTGTTCTGTTAAATGCAAATTGAAGTCCTTTCACCTCCGTTGAATCAGGGTGGAAGCAGAAATAAAATACTTGTTCATATCAAACGCTGAATTGTAACTCCTATTCTTGCTTTTTATACCTGTCTTAATCTATATTAGCCTTTTTAAATGTCATTCTTTCTGCTCTTTAATATTTAAGGTTTATTTAGATGAGATTAGATTTACTTATATATTTAGTTGCAGAAACAAGTAATAAACAAGGCATTGCACTAAAGCTGAAACTATTATAAAAAAGAGATAACTATATGCACATAAACATCAACAATATACTTAGCTCCAGAGTTTCTATGGTACACACAATAAGATATACAGAATAAGTTAAGAGTACACTAATAAAAAATCATAATCATATTGTTAAAACATAAAACACAGGATAAACAATATGTTCTCGGTAGTTGCAGTTTCTTCTGAAATGAAATAAGGTAAATGTAATTAATACAAATTGTTCAGGGTTATTGAAAGTGAAAAACAGAGAGGAGTATGGGTAAGAAGACAGAGGCGTCATTTTGGTGGACACATCGGTAACTATGTGTTGTGCATGAATGTAGCACCTTTTCTCTTTTGGAGAACACAAAGTATAACAACAGTATACTTGTGTATCTGTCACAAAACCAATTCTTCCCTCAGGATAAGTATTTTATTTATTCATGTATTTATTTTCTCTATTATATAGATTAGTCGTTCTTATTTAATAAATCATGTTGTATTGCCCCCATGTGTTGCTGTAGCTCCACCCCTTGATGGCAATGTTTGTTTCTTCCCCTGGATCTCTATAAAGTTTATTAAAAACTACAACCCCCATGATGCATTAGCTGTTATCCTTGCTAACAGAGATACACTTGTTGAGACTGTAAAGAGTCAGAGACACTTTTAAATGTCATGCAGAGAGTTAGGCTGTTGACAAACTGTCCAAAAATCAGCTCCTCTCGTCTTTTCCTAACNCGATCTCATTTACAAGAGAAACCTGCATCATTTAGTTCCACATGAAACATTTGAATATGTAAATATGATATCCTCTGTTGTTTGTTTGTATGTTGTTTTTATGTTTCATGTGGAACTAAATGATGCAGGTTTCTCTTGTAAATGAGATCGATGATCTCAAGGGACCAATCTGTCTAAATAAAGGTTTGAAATGAAATGAAATGAACGCCGCCTGTAGCTTAATCCGCAAGACTGCGGAGCTGATGAATATCCCTGGAGCTGGGGCGAAGCCCTGCTGCTGCTTGTGCGTTGACACCTGAAATGACAACTGACAGGTGCTATGATTGCTAGCCGGGGCGTGACGCCCCTGATCGCTTATTGAGATAACGTGTGACACCAGATGATATTGTCTTCCTGATTGAACTTGCGCTGAGCTACATATGACTTGAGAAAAATAAATAATGTAAAGATGTAAAGCAAAATTATATATTANTCTGGACGTAGTAAATCAAAGGTGCTACTTTGTATTTTTTGTTCGTATGGTTTGTTTGTTGTCTCCTAATTATAATGGGTATAAGTTGTAAATGTTTATGGGCTCACAGTCTTTCGGTAAAGTAAATCTGCACGGAATTTATGTAAGTACTCTTTATTTTTACGAGTTAAATTAAAACGGACATCTTGACAAGTTTCGTTCAACCTCGACTGCGTGTATTTTCGACTGAAGGATTCTGTCAGGAATGAGAACCGTTAGGATTGATCTGATATAGGATCGCTATCGTCTGTTATCGACGAACGTTGAAAGACGAACATAAGAGCAAAACCTCGATGTCTTTTCCCGTCTAAATTTTTTCTTTTAACACAACACAACACAAAGAGCGGACATAACGGACTTCAAAACACACACACACAAAAAGATATATAATAACACACATATCTAAGTCGTTTTATCTGTATTTAGATACAGGTTTTTTATCGGAAGTTTCTTTAACTTGTGCGTTTATGTTCTCCAAAACGCGTATATACACATATCTGGTGTTTTATTAATCCGTCCACCCAGAACACACGTTCTACTCGACGCCTTTCTGCCTAAAAAAATGTGTGTGTGTGTGTGCTCCATACATGTGTGACGACCTAAATTTACTCTGTATCGTCGTGGCACCTGTACCCAGAAGAAGTCCACCGACACCTGGACCTAAAGCTAGTCCCTACCAGGTGTCTAAACCGGGGAATGCATGACGTCGTCCCCCCTGCCTGCGGCACAGGTCCACCACTGAAACCGGACCCCAAGCGGGTCTAGGGGCGCCGGGACGTCCAACCCACTCACCCCCACATGTCCCCAAGTACAACCTGTCAGAACAAGCAACTCGTACGACATCACAACCTGAACTAGAGCAGGCGAGGCGGAGCCAGTAGTCTGGGAGCCTCTATTCGAGAGAACCTCATTGTCAGTCCCTGCGCAGACTGCCTCAGACACTCCTGGCTGTAACTCGGTTAAAAATAATGGTCCATATAAAAGTTTTTGTGGCTTACAATGTTTATATTATAGACACACTATCTTCGTAAATCATTTAGATGTGTTTCATGAATTGCCTTACGAGCACCATAATTATATAATATTTTTAGTCATAATTTTACACACACTTTGTTACTTCTTCTTATTCCGTTACAGGGAAACAACTCAACGAAGAGTCCGCTTTACCAGCGAAATACATAGTCGCAAGGGAGATCAGTACACAACATATGTCATATGGACATACACACGTAATTCCTTTCCATTTTTGATACACACACACACGAATAAAATTAACTGCCGACATATACCTCGGTGACCAAATTAGTATGGAAATGACACAATTTGATGCAGGTCTCCCTTGTAAATGAGATCGATGATCTCAAGGGACCAATCTGTCTAAATAAAGGTTTGAAATGAAATGAAATGAAAGAAGCATAGAAAATGTTGACCTTTATTTTGAACTGGAGCATCTGTAGATTGATATGCCCAATATGTTATGGTCCACTCAAGCTAAACACTAAACAAGATGAATAAATCCCTTTTTTACTTTGTTACCTACACATCTTGACTGTAATGGAGTGGGAAAGGTCAACTCTTATTTGTTTAATGTGATGACTGAGGGGAGAGGGAGACAGACTTTGTGTAGTTCTGTACTCTATTGAGCAAACCTTTCTAGTTCCTATTGGATTGTCTTTTGTTGAAATAGCAGCAGCTCAATTCCGTTTTTTTTCTTCTTTGTGAACTCAGGCTCGTTTGCAGAAGCTGGAAGAAGGAAACAAACTGGACTGGTCGACAGCAGAGGCTTTGGCTTTCGGCTCGCTCCTCTCCCAGGGTCAGTGTAACGAAGAAAATACATCAGATCAAATATATGAATCATTTCTTTCTATCGGTGACAAAAATTGGATTTGGAGAAAATGTTAAATGATTGTTGTTACAGGCTTTAATATCAGAATCAGCGGACAGGATGTGGGAAGAGGAACGTTCAGCCATCGACACGCCATGGTGGTGTGTCAGGACACCAACGACATGTACATCCCTCTGAACCACATCAGCCCTCAGCAGGCTGGCTTCCTGGAGGTAAAGGCCTTATAAACCTGATAAACACAATCCGTCCTAATCGTGAGATATTTCAAAGCTTAATTCTTTAATAGTATCAAAATGTGTTATCCTTTCATGTGTTGTATTGTGATGACTTTGTGTCTTTGTGTGTGTGTGTGTTCAGGTGTGTAACAGCCCGCTGTCTGAGGAGGCGGTGCTGGGATTTGAGTACGGTATGAGCATCGCTCAGCCGAAGCTCCTTCCCATCTGGGAGGCTCAGTTTGGAGATTTCTTCAACGGAGCGCAGATCATCTTCGATACCTTCCTCACTGGAGGTAAGCTCCTGACTACACTGGTGCTATGAACATGTCACACTTACTCTCAGTATCTTAAACTCTCCTCATCAGCTGTGTAACTCTTGTGTCTGCAGGTGAAGCGAAGTGGCTGCTGCAGTGTGGGATGGTGATCCTGCTGCCTCACGGCTACGACGGAGCCGGACCCGAACACTCCTCCTGCCGCATGGAGCGCTTCCTCCAGGTCTGTGTGGCGGGAATGTAATCCATGTCAAACCAATTTACCGGTTTTTAATTTCTGTAAATAACGTCCATGTTAACACCAAGTTTGAAAGAGAACTTGGATTTGATATGCACTTAAATGTAGGATAATAGTGGAGTCATACGGTTCCACTTTGCAGCATACTGCAGGAAGTAGAGTTTAAGAAGTAGTGTTCAACCACAGAAATGTTTTAAATGTATGCAAAAAACACAATTATATTTTTCAAAAATTCCAATTAATTTAAATGTTGCTGGTTTTGAAACCTCCACAGACTAAGACACTCTTGCTTTATAGGATTTCAAAGCACTGCTCTATCGCTGCTGTTATGTGTTAACTGGTTTACAGCTGGATGCTTCTGAACTGAATGTTCAACTAGCAGCTTTTCCATTGGTTTGAGTTATGTTACTCATTAGCTGAATGAGTGCTAACTGCTCCTGTCTCTCAGATGTGTGACAGTAAAGAGGAGGGTGTGGATGATGACCGCGTGAACATGGCTGTGGTCAACCCCACCACGTCCGCTCAGTACTTCCACCTGCTGAGGAGGCAGATGATCCGTAACTTCCGCAAACCTCTCATTGTGGTTGGACCCAAGACCCTGCTCCGATTTTCTGTAAGTGCTAACAGAACATTTCCAAATCCTTTTAAACTAATGTTTCTATGCAAGTGGCTGAGTAATGTGTGTTGTTTCCACAGGGCGCAGCGTCCAGTCTGACTGAGCTGGCTCCAGGAACATCCTTCAGACCAGTGTTGGGTGATACCTCAGTCTCTGCAGCAAGGTACAGAAGTAGCTAAATGTATATTATTGAAGACATAAAACACAATTGAAATGTTAATGTGTCCTTTAACAAATGGGAAAAATCCTGTTTTGATTGTTGCTCGAGTTCCCCGATAATACAGACACTTTTCTTTCTTTATATTCGACAAGCAGCATCAGTTCGGAATTTCTGAAATGATTAAACGTTTCTTTGACTTTTTGACTTAACAACACTGGAACTACTGGATTACTCAAGTCAGAAACAGTGTTATGCACGAAACACTAGACTATAATATGCAAAAAAAAGCTGAATCCAATGTTGATTTTAAAAATATCAATGTCAATATTATGAAAAAACCCTAAAATTATTGGTTACAGCCAAAAACAAATATTACAATTAATAATTTTTCAATGTTTCTTTGTCCTTTTGATTGAAAATGGCTGATTTGTGGAATATTCACACATTAAGCCCATCTCATTGTACTTCCATGCAGTGTCCAGAAGGTGGTGCTGTGCTCAGGGAAACATTACTATGCCCTGCTGAAACAGAGAGAGACATCAGCAGCCAATCAGAACACAGCACTGATCCGTGTGGAGGAGCTCTGTCCGTTCCCACTGGACGCCCTGCAGCAGGAGTTCAAAAAATACCCCAACGCCAAAGGTATGTGTGAGACCCCCACCCCCATACCGACTGTGCTAGTGCCATAAGAACATCTTATTTAATATGAGTCAGATCATTGAGGAAAAGTTCATTACTGTATGTTTAATCAGGTCTTTGAATACACTGTTGTATTGCAGGCAAACAAGTGCTCACTATGAATATTATAAACTCAAGTCAGCATGAAGGGCTTGACTATATCCCATAACAATTGTTATCATAACTGGCCCTTATATCACTTTGATGAATAAAAAGACAGTAGAGGACAAACTCACAGCCACTACAAGAACCTCACTGCACACACAATCTATAAATAGTGCTCTATATATATATACACACATTTTAACATGATAGATGAACTTTTCCGAACAGATGTTACAGTGCTTCACAAGACAACAAAGGCAGATACATCAAGCAAAGGGAATAACAATAAGATGTCCATTTAAAAAGTACATTCAATGACAATATAAAAAGGTAAAGTCGTGAAACAAAGTGATAAAAAGAAATGAATACTTAAACGTGATGGTGTAAGTGGACTCTTTGCTGACATGCTTGCTGCGTTTTGCATAATACTCATGAGTTTCTGAGGCACTTCCCACATTATGTAATACTGCAGTCTTGACTGACTGATGCACAAGAGGCAACACAATTTATAAAGAGCTTTTTAAACACAAAAGCACCGTGTAGCTGTTTACTTCAAGTTTTAAAAAATGCATTCAAGCAACATTTAAAAGCCCGAAGGTAATGACGATAAATAATGTGAAATGAAACTACACATAAAGACAAATAATACACAATCAAATAAGTATTTTATTAAAGTTACAGGGCAGGAATAAAACCCCAAAATGTAATAAAAACAACTGATGCAGACACGGATCTTCTGAAAAATTGTTCCAGGAATGAATGTACTGCAGAGAAACTGAAAGTGTTAAAGGTGGGGTAGGTTATTTTGGAGAAACCAGCTCGAGTGCGCAAGAATTTGAAAATACACAGCCGGTAAAGATCTACCACTTCCTTACAGAGCCCCTCCTCCAACACACACGAACGCGCACATGACCAATGAGGGCACGAGATAAGTTTGTGCACAGATGGAAGGCTGACAGGCAGGTAGGCCATCCAGTTATTTTAGCCGGGCCGGCTAAAAATGATTGGTCGTGCTTTTTACAGTACCACGGCTTCCACAGATGACATTTTTTTATGGATTTGTTGTCAAAGCACTTCAGATATTCATTGCTATCTGGATGTTAAGAGCATTCCATGGAATATAACAAAAAGTGTATCTCGAGCCGGTTTCTCAAACTTACCTACCCACCTTTAATCTCTTAATTGTAATACAAAAAAAGCATAGGTAGATGATAGTCATTTCAGTTTTATCATTCCATACTTTATGGAAAGAGTTTTTTTCTTCGATACTTTCAGGATCCAGAGTCCGTATGTGAAACAGCCATCTATATTTGAGTTTCGGACAGAAAAACAATTTCGACAGCTTCTCTCTTTGTGAGTCACAGGAAGTTGAATGGCATTCAGCGACTTGAATAGAAGTCTGACAGTCTCCACTTTAATTACAGTCCTGAGGAGAACATCACTGACAAAGAAACCATTAATCTAAAACAAAAATCCAAAGTATGAGCTACAGCAGACTGGTTTTCACTGCACGGCCCATTGTGTTAGGTGTTTCTATTATTGTGTCCACCCTGTGTCGCTGAATGAGTGTCACTCTCTGACTGATTGGTTCATTTCGTTAAGAAAGACTTTGTGAGCATGAGGAACTAGAGGCTGTTCCTGTTCTTGTGTTCTGTTCAACATTGGCCGATGTAATCATTTCCCAAATTCACGATATGTATATCTCAAAAAAACCTTAGTCTTATCTAAATCATTTGCTTTTCTGTGTTTATATCTTAAGAACAGGTAAAAAAATGTTATGAGGTGAATTTAATTTTGGTCATTGTGTTGGTTCTTGTTGTAATGCTTATTTCAATCACAAAATAATAAAGTGCACCACTATCAGTGAATATACAATATCTTATATATCGGACTAAAAGCATGTTTTCTACCATGTGAGTTTTATTCCTCCATTTACTCTAAGCATGTCTGTCTTTAGGCTAGAAATACATTTAGAAACGTTGTTACATAACTTGCCAACACACACTAATTGGAGATCAAACTTAGAAAATGATCACCAGATTTTTCTTTCCCACTTGCCTCTTGAGGCTCATGTTACTGTATGGCTGCCAAGGGTGGATTTTGTGTTGGTCTCATTATAACAAAGTGACATTTGAAAGCTCAGGTTTCACTTCAGCTCTCAATCGTGTTGTTCTCACCTCCACAAAAACACCCACAGAGAAAGTCCAGTTTCAGTTGGACACTCCCTGAACTACATGAACCAGTCACATGTTCTTTTACTTCCAATGTAATAAATGTTTAAAAAATCCCCCCGCAGAGTTTACTTGGAGTCAGGAGGAGCCACAGAACATGGGCCCCTGGTCGTATGTAGCCCCCAGGTTTGAGAAGCAGCTGGCCTGCAAGGTGAGCCCTGATTCAAATAATAAAGTACACAATATCATGGTTCTGAAATGACACACACGTAACCGTCTCATCTTGTTTCTCAGCTCCGGTTAGTGAGCCGCCCTGCTCTGCCCGCGCCTGCTGTCGGCATCGGGATCCTCCATCAGCAGCAGCAGGAGGCCATCCTCTCCGCCACCTTCTCCTAAAACACGCAGCAACACTGACAACAGTAAACAAGCATCAAGACTACACTACATACTGGCATCTGCTCTAATCCTTCAAAGCAGCGTCAGTAAATGTGCTTCACGGGAGATGCATGGGAACTTTTTAGATGATAAGGATGTACGGTTCAAATAAATAGTTATTATAAAGAGCAAATAAAGGGAAGACAATAGAGTTTTTTTAAAGAGGTTTTTAATTATTATCAGGAATGGCCTGAATTTGTTCTCCCCTTTCTTGTTTTGACTTTGCCTGTATTGTTTATGTGTTCAGTGTCAAGGCACTGTGGAAAGGGAAAAAATACATATGTGGGTGGGATCTGACTCGAGGCCTTAGAGACATTGTCTACAGTGCAACTGAAGTAAAGGAGCACTATCAGCTGACGGTCAGATTTTCAGCACTGGAGATTATTTCTCTTGATACGACCTCTTAAACCTGGAAAACTGTTAAAAAACAAACCCAGTTAGAACCGATATGCTAAAACTAAGAGTATGGAGAGACAGACTCACCCATGGTTGGTTTACACTCTTATTGTCTATTCTAAAGGACTTGCATTTATCTCGACTCTTGCATCAGCGGTACATTGATCCATTGACTCTGTTGCTGCTCGCCTCATGCATTCAGTCTCCTCTAGTTGTCCGTTGTTCTGAACAGAAAACATTAGAAGTTGTTGGAAATATCTTTGAAATATTTATGTAAGAACAGGGAGTACTTTAACTGGATTTCTGAAGAAAGTAAAAAGACTTTTGAATGTTTACGCAGCCTTGAGTAAGATGTATTTGGACATTTTATGCTACAAATTAATATTTAATCATGCTTCTAAGACTTGAAAAAATAAAAGCATTAAAGGGCTAATGTAAATAAAAGAAACAAGATGGATTTCAAATGGAAATATTTTCAAATAAATCAATTTTCACTTTATGCATTCTGCTTTTTTTGTTCCCGAATCTAATGATTGGTTAAGAATCTGTTACTTGGGTTGAAATATGAGCGATGTGATTCTAGAGATCATAATATCTCTGTACATTAGCTCCTCTGATCGACAACCGTTATAAGACTCATAATCAAATGTACAATCAGTAGCTGCTGGGAGAAGCAGGCTTGATATGGAGAAAATGTATATTCAAATTCGTGACATTGTTAAAGTTAGCTCATTGTGACCTAAAAGACATAAAGTTAGAATCTGGGACACAATGGAGGACAACACAAAATAAAGTTTACAGCTTCTAAAGAATACTTATCTGGGTAAGGATAGACTGGTTCAAGAATAAGAGGTCAACACACTGGACTTCAAAGATGAGCACAGGCAAATCCTTATAAATACGTTCATTCATGAATACAACTCGTGAGTTTCCTCAACATAAATACATGTATGTGCGGACTGAGCAAAGCTGCGCTCGCTTTGTGTGTTTGAGAGATGAAGATGGGCTTTAGCACATTATGTTAGTGTAAGTTATTAATAACGCTGCTTTGTCACCCACTCAAACCTCTATTATTTTCTTGTAAGCTCTCCAAACCTGCTCATAACGCAATTCACAATTGGAACTTAATTACAAACAGCACCATAATTATAATATTAATTTTTGCCTTATCCCATCTTTGCTCAAAGTGTCAGGGTTTAGACAGAATGGGGCATGCAACCAAAAAGCTGCGCATCCTATGATAAGAGTTTGAATGTCAACATTATGAATACATCTTTGAACTATTCAGTGTACACCCTTAGTACATGCATGCACATTTTAGGTAGCAGTTTGACATCTGCACAGTGACAAACATACAAAACATGAATGAAAGTTAAGAGGCGGCGAGGGTTCACCTGCTGTGCATTGGCCCCCAATACTCCTGGCTACGCCCCTGCCCTTTAAATCTCACCTCCTGTCAAAATGAAAGCATGTATATGTGCATCAACCTAACACAAAACACGAGATGTAAAACACAGACTGGGGTCAGGGCAGGAGAGTTTGAACCGGGCCGGTGATTTGGTGCAATGCGAACACTTAAATGGCTCAGTGTGTGCAGGCTGTCAGACAGACAGGCGGAGCAGCAGCCTCCCACTCCTGCTGCTGGAGGAACACAGCAAGGTCGGTGTTACACAGCACACACAGCAGTTCGGATGTGAAGTGTCTTCCTCCTGCAAGCAGCCCGACCTCAGATCACCACATCCCCGCGTTGCCACTGACTGAATCCCGCCTGACAAAGGGAGGGTGGGGGGGAGGAGGAGGAGTGTTTCCCCGTCAAAAGGGATCTGAACAGCGGGGAAGCTCAAAGTCGGGATCCGCTACGTCAAACAGATTAGTCAAATAACCTCTCGTGGCAGGACATACCTCCTTTCTTTGGGCTTGCCTGGCTGCATGCATGGGCTGAGGAAGCTATATAGTCTGACAAATAGCCAGGAAGCCCTTAGCTAAATACACAAGTACTTTTTATTTTTATTTTTTCTCTGGGGCTGGCTGTGGTTGGTCCTCCAGCGGCGTCTCTTCTTATTCTCCTCCTCTCCCCACCCCTGGTGCGAAATGGCGAAAGAAAACGGCGAGTCCAGCAGCGATGGGTCCTGGAAAAAGCATGTCGATGATATCAAGCAGATATTTGACTTTAAGGAAGTCCTTGGGACGTGAGTAACACGATAACACACAAACTTTGTATCCAGTTGTGCAAATTAGCGGCAGACAACAATGACACATTCCTTTTCATTTCCGTTGAATCGGTGCTGACAGCTGTTGAATATTTGTTGAATTCACTGAGAACTGCTCGATGGAAAAGAGGAAAAGGCATTTTTAACTTAAATCCCTAAACAAAGAGACATTTTAAAGATATTTAACGGTGAATTAATTGTTCAGGGAGCGGAAATGATGTTTCATGAGACACAATGTTTGTCAGAATCACAGTTCATTCAAAAAGCTGCGTGTTTTTATTCTACCATGGACATGGGGATACACAGATCAGGCAGCCATTTATTTTAGGGTCGTTTTATACAACATGACAACTATGAAAAAGACATCAGAGCCTTTTTTCACACATAAATCAGCTCCTCAATTAAGGGACCATCTGTATTGACTTCTAGTGCTCAGTGTCTTTCTTCTCCAAACAGAAAGGCAGATTTAAGCAGAGACACATCATGTCTGGGTTAACATACACTTGTTTGCACAGTAAATGTTCAGTTTCATTTGTGTCAAGGGACCATTTTGGATGAAGTAATGCTCTTTCCCTTGGACTACAGAGCAGCCAAATTCCAGTTTATTTTTGTCCCCTGTTAGTGCTGCTTGACTTCATGTTTTTTCCCTGTTTTTGAATAAGTTCTGCCGCAGACAGACAGCCTAATTGTTACCCTGAGTGGAAGACCCCAAACTGCTGAAGAGGTCAGTGAGTCACTCTTGTGGCTGACTGTGGTTCTCATTTATCCTGCTGGTCTTTAGCCCCTGAAGACATGACCATCCTCCCATGGCTCAGAGGAATGTAATGACGTTTGTATTGTTGGGGATTCGGGAGGGGGCCTTGGCGAGAAAGGGGTTTCCCTGGGGAAATATGCTTGTTTTTTTAAATTTGGAAACAGAAACTGGTGTGAATATGAGGGAAGAAATGGTCTTGAGTCACCATGTTTGTAGCTAAACTGGAATATTTCACGGATGATAAAACAGACACTTTGTGGTTTGTAATACATGCAACCTCATCTCCTGCAAACGTAATAATCTATCTTCTCATTTTGTGCTGTTTGGCATGACAGCCAGGTTTTTTTATTTGTCTTTACTGAGGAACAGGATCATACAATTTCTCATCCAGATTGGTGATTCATAAAGCTCACTCGACACTTCATCTGTTGTACTAAACAGTCAGACGCTGCTACCTGGAAGCTGTTCTGATTTCCCCAAGGCTTTCATGTATGTGTGAAGCGCCTCTGAACAACACGCAGTGAATCATCCTGATTTACTGTCCACACAATGGCCAGGTTGGAGGAACACACATCCCTCGCCCACGACATTAACAAACATCTCCGAGGCCAGTTTGTGACTATTCAGCCTCTTATGTTACATCTGATATTATACTGTGTGTACTCGCCCTGATTCACTAAAGGAATCAGGAACGCCTTGTTTCTGCACAGAGAGCTTCAAAACAGGTCATCTTAGGGCGAGAAGCCTTGCTGCTTTGCTTCAGGATTAAAAATGGACGAAAAGGAAGTGTTGGCCAGAGGAAGAGACTTAGATTATCCTCCTTTTCCTCCCACTCCTCTTCATCCTCCCCCTCATACTGCTCCACCTTCAACTGGAGCTTTCTCCTCAGGTTTTCCCTGTCAATCCTCAATAATTTCCCTCTACACAGCCGTGGAAGTATGTAGCCTATACTCAAGTGCAATACTTAAGTACAATTAAGAGGTACTTTACTTGAGTATGTATATGACATACTTACTTATTCTCTACTTCATAAGACCATGTCATACTTCACTAAAATATGATGCAATGTTATAAATAAAAGCTACCTTCATTCTACTGTAGTCAACATTAGCTTAACTCCACCTGCTACAACAATAAAATCAATCATGATAATCAAATATTTAACAATCCATAATTTACATGAGCACTTTTGCTGCATATTCTTTATTTTGAGAACTTTATTTGTGTGTTCTTGCATTTTCCTTGTCACCTAGTATTTCTACATTGTGTTATGTCTACTTTACTTAAGTTTAGGATACATTTTCCACAGCGGCTGCACAGAGATCTGATTTCAGCAGCCGCTGGAGGCCGGCGTGTGAACGTTGTGACTGATTACATATTGACAAGAGTTGGTGGAGTACAAAGCCTGCGGTGGTGACAGTAGAGCTTTGGTCACACTTCTTCTCCGTGATTCCTTGCAGTAGCTGTTTGTACGCTAATGAGAACTTTGACACTGAAGCCAGTCCTCACACCTTGCCGCCACTTTGCCTTGTGGCTAATTTGAGAGCCTTAAGCTGCTGAAACTCTGTGGAAGCAAATTAAGTAACCGGAGCACATTCCAGACCCCAGTAACAACTTAGACGAAAACGAACCAAGGTCGATATCAAAAAATTATTCCGTCCACACGGAATCGGCACAAGAAACGTGTCCATCCACACGAGACCGCTCGACCCACTGGAGACGCTGTAGTACATATGCCGGGCCCAGGGACGTGCACAGACATTTGGAGGGGCTATTGCTCTAAACTGGAAAAAGGCCCTCCCCCCGATAAAAAAACACAAGACCTTTTGAAAATTGTAACTTTTTTTTAATGTAAAACAAACCAAACGATTATTACATCACCTAAATTGAACAGTATTTCACATCTCGTAACAAAATAAGCTAAGGTGACTACTTGCATTCGGCAACTTGATTTAAAAAATGAAAACCAGGGACATTTTCTGTTTTGCGGTCCATATCTCATCAAAAATATCTAATGTCAAGTATTAAAGACAAAATGGGGACAATTCTGTTCTAATGTAGTTTGACCAGACCAGTATAACTGCTGTGCAGTCCAGACATACTGATAAAATAGGGCCTCTAACTAATTACCTTAAATAAACTCACTAATTAATGAAACCTGTTCAATATGCATTATTCTTATTCTTATCATTCTTTATGAGTGCAGTAACCGTAAGGTATCTAATTACTTATTTATTTAGTATTCCATAACTTAGTAACAGAGATGGTCAAACTAAAGTGGTAGAGACATGGCAGAAATCCTACAATGAAGCGGGACATTGAACTGTTCACCCGTGAGAGGGCAATCAAAAAGAGAGCGAGCGGCCCGGTTGAGGGAGTTCACAGATGAAAAGACACAGAAGCACAATAACATATATGCTATATTTAGTTGTTTTTTTGTAAATAACCGACGGTATCAAGAGGAAGTAAAGTCCCCTGGTTTGTCCCTTATACCCTAACTGCCATGAGACAATTCAAAATCAAGTTTCCAAAATCCGACACTGAGGTGGTCTTAACGCACCGGCAGATGACAGCGCTGACAAAATGTGTTTCCCGCAGCGAGACGCTACAATACTAATTGTGGGATTATCATGTTGATTCGGCCACAACAGAAAAAAGAAAAACAGACTCTTGGTCTCTCCAGAGGGGCAGGTCAGCCAAAAAGGGGGCCGTTGCCCGGGCAACATTAGCCCGTGCCTGTGCACGTCCTGTACTTCCGCCAAAAAATACACCAAAAGCACCCACTTTGGGATGCGTTATCGTTTGAGGGCTTCCGTTACGGCCTCGTGTGGACGAACCGTCCATACGACAAAGAACTATAGCGGATACCACTCGTTTTGTGTCCATGTGGACGGGGCCTTACTGTAGCCGACTGATTAATGAGGATGCACTAATTATGTTCCCTCTGCTAAAACTGCATGGTAACAAGCTTTCCCTAAATTTAAAATCGGTGTCCTTTTTATGTGGCACGCATCAGCATTATTCTGATAACATGCAGCATGGAGATTGCTGTGGCTCTAAAGTCTGCGTCAGTGGGGCCGTCACGACTCACAAATGTAACAAAAGATTGTGGAAACACAACACTGTCAAGGAAACTGTATTTTAATGTGGGTGAGTCACATCATGGCCAATACTCCCATCTGCTTAAAAAGGTCTGTAACTCTGTGGATACTGAGAGTATATCAGATCGGTGCCTCCATAATGATAATTGAACACGCTGATATATGCGCTTTTGACCAGCTTATATATGTATTTTGTTTAAAAAACAAGACTAATATGCTAATTTTCAGGTTCATATTTACATGTTGCGCCTCTACTGTGACATGTTTACATGCTTTAAAGTTCAAAAAGCTCTTTATTTTTCTCAGACTGCCTGTGCTGCAGCACCTCTTTTCACCCTCTGTCTGAAACCAGAGCCCAGTGTGCTCTGATTGGTTAGCCGGCCAACTCTGTTGTGATTGGTTAACCGCTTAGAAATGTCCCGCCCCTTAGCCTACCACTTACAATGCTGTATAAGTGTGTTACAAAGTGACTTCCCTGCGTAGAAATATTTATTATCGCCCCTTAGTTGAATGAGGCAATCCTTGTGTTTATTTAGGAAAAAGAATATTGGCTGTGATATAATCTCATATAAATACACCTTGTAGGGTTTGTTGTCATGTTTTTCCTAGAATCTGAGATTACAATGCCAAAATTAATCTCTGTTAGCTAAACCGACACTCTCATGTCACTTATTGCCACCTAAAGCCACATCTTCATGGTTATCTTTGCCACCAAAGCGGAAAATATCAGTGAAACAAAATGAAGAACTGTTAAATGTACACATCCTACAGTCTCTTAAATAACTAATCTTATTCCCTTTTAGCTGTCGCACTTCTGTTTTTAACATCTATCTTTACCCTTATTCCCAACATCTATCTTTACCCTTATTCCAAACATGTAATTTCCCCTGAGTTTAATATTAATGAAATAACAGGCTTTCGTGTTAGACATTAAACTGCCCCCTGATCTCTATGACCCATGATGCATTTTGGTGACTACCTTCATGCATTGATAATTTTCTGAACTGCAGCTTCTGTAGAGACTAGTTTGGTCCTTGGTGCAGGAAAATGGCAGCTAGGCAACTAGCAGCATGGACGTCCTTGGTTGCTCCCCCTCCAAAGAAGACTACCCACCACCGTCCTCC